TTACCAGCTCAATTTACTCTGCGATTGACGAATATCCCGTCATGGCCCGACTCTGGCGATAGAAAACGGTGCGCACTCTTAAACGAGGGCGCCAGAGTTAACCCTTACTACACTTAAGAGAAATTTTGAAACGATCTTGATAGTAAGAAATCGTGGAAAAAGGGTTTAAAAATTTGACAGCCCTTTATATGCACATCCTCTCAGTGTTTTTTAAACTTCTTAATTGTTTCATAACTTATTAAAAATCCGTGTAAAGTAAGAGGAATGTAATTAAATATGATTGCAACTATCAGCAAACTCTGTTTATATGTATAAATTGATTAATTTAAATACTAAGTGAACTTAAGAAAAAAAATTTTAAATTTTAAACTGCCTGTTTTTTGTGTACATATATATTCATTTCAGCAAATACTTCTACGTGTATTATCAGTCAATTTTGCTATGCATCTTCAAAAATTGAAATTATTTGTTATAAGACACGAACAGAAAGAGGTGGCGTAATGAAAGTGATCAAGTTTCTGACTGTAGCATTACTGAAATTCATGCTGAAACAAACATTAAACTGTTTAAATAATTAAAATACTCCTAATTTAATTTAAAATGCAATTTATACGCGAGATCAAATGGCTGAAAGAAGAGAAGAAATCACATATGCTGTTAAGCGATTTTAAATGGAATGTTTTATGTCTATTCGAATTTCAAATTTTGCTTTTCAAAAAAATAAATAAATAAATAAATCGTTGTATCACATTTCAAACTGTTGCCACCAAATGTTATTGTGAATAATACCAAGAAATTGTAAAAAGAGTTGTAAGGATGCTAACAGTTATCTTTTTAGTTGAAGCTACTTTCCTGCTGCTCTTAATTTCAGTTTACAATTTCTTACCAGAATGTGTTTTAAGAATCGCGGTTAAATGAAAATGAAGGAAGAGCAGTACTTCAACTCGAAGTTCGTGAGAGAGCCAGATATTTTGACTAGCGCGCGTTTCCCCCTTGGCTACATTCTCTCTAAGTTATTTCTACGCTCGGCCGTATTTCAGGCGCTTGATAGCTTCACCGTCTAGGATTAGGATTAGGAACGGGGGACGTGTGCACCATCCCTTTACCGTTATGGTTAATTGGTTTAGCGCCACGTCCTCCAATATCCAGAGCAAGGCCAGAATAAGGCCACACGTGAGACTCGCACCAGACGCCCAAACCCAGCACCCTATTCATCCGGGTAGCAGTCCAGCCGACCAAAGTGCTCCCGAGGAATACTCTTAAGTCAAAATGCCGGGGCCAGTGTTTTATTTGTTTCCAGGAATAAAACGTACAGTGCCAAACAAAAGCAGAATCTTTATATAGGTTAACATACAATTACATAGTTGATCACAATAAGATTATAGAATTATGACATTAAAGATACCTGGTTATCCGCCAAACAATAGGTCTATTACAATAACATACATATGCAAAATTTGGTTAATAGTAGTAACAATTTGTGCGGCTACTCGTATTTGACAAATTACCTTTTAAATATAAACCTTACAATTGCACTTATATATGTCATGTTGTTTAGATATATACACTCATGTCCAAAATTATGTTTACATGCATAAATTCACGGATTTCTCAGAGAGTATGACTTATAATTTAATGAATTTTCGTGGAATCATACGTAAATGATGACACATAAATGCAAAGAAAAATTGAAGATCACCTCATATGATATAAAATTGTAGCATGAAACAATAAAAATGATAATAAAGTGTGACAAAGAGAGTTAAGAAAAAAAGGAATGATTCAGAAAAAGAATTAAGTCTTACGAATTTAATATGGAATATGATCTCCCCTGACTTGTACACACATATCACAACGTGTTTTAAGACTGGAAATAACGTTGTTAACCACAGTTTGGGGAATTAATCTCCACTCTTCCAGCAATGCCGTCTTCAGAGCATTTACATCTCTAGGAGGAGGATGTATAAGTGCAATTGCTCTTCCAAGGTAGTCCCATTAGTTCTCTATCGGGTTAAGGTCAGGAGAGTTTGGTGGCCAAGGTATTCGCTTAATGTCTTCACTTTCAAGGAATTCATCAACGAGGTTTGCTCGATGTGGACAGGCATTATCATCCATAAATAAAACGTCAGGTCCATATGCACCCCTGAAAAGTCTTACATAAGGATCTAAGACCTCATCCCGATATATCTGGCCTGTCACAGATCCGCTGGTGAACACGTGTAGGGCCGTACGTCCATCGATCATTATTCCACCCCATACCATCACACCTCCACTACCGAAACGGTCACGTTCCACAATGTTCGAGGGATCATTTCGTGTTCCTGACTCCCTCCAGATGTAAACACGTTTAGAATCACCAGTTAAACTAAACCGCGACTCATCAGTAAAGAGAACATGGGACCATTGATGTTCAGTCCAGTTTTGATGTTCTTTACACCAATTAAAGCGATCCCTCTTTTTCTGTGAAGACAGTAAAACACATACCCTTGGCTTTCTGGCATAAAGACCTTTTTCATTAAGCCTTCTGTATATTGTTTGCCGTGATGCAACAGTTCCAGTGGCGGCTGCAAGCTCTGAACTTAACTGGCGAACAGTAGCCTTTCTGTTACGACGGGCAGTTAATACCAGAAACCGATCTTCAGAAGCAGTTGTCATTCGTTTTCGACCTTGTCCAGGCCTCCTTACAACACTTCCATCATTTTGAAACTGTTTCCATAGCTTAGAGACTGTCTGTCTTAAAATATTCAGACATGTGGCTGTTTCCATGATTGACTGCCCTGCTTCTAAACAGCCGATAATTCGCCACTTTACAGATTCTTCCAAATGATACTTCGAAGCCATAACAAACCGCTTTGAGTCCCTACACACTGAAATCAAAGCCTATGTTGCAGAAATTCACTCAAATATTCAGTTTGCGCAAAGCGCTTGATTCACTCTTGGATGACGTAACGCCTATATTTGCATATCACAAACCGTTTGATTACTTTTGATTGGATAATGCTAATTAGGCTTGGTTTTCACACATTCCCTGCAAATACGGATCACATTGATTCGATATTTCATTGAATATCATCATTTTTATGTATGTAAAGATAATTTTGGACATGAGTGTATTACAAAAAGCTTCACCGTCTAGTTAGCTTCACCGTCTAGTTAGCTTCACCGTCTAGCTTCACCGTCTAGTTAGCATTAAGCGGCCAACTCCTGTTAGATTTTGACAGCTTCGGCTATATTTTTACTTCCTTGTACGAAGTTAGCATTAAGCGGCCAACTCTTGTTGGATTTTGACAGCTTCGGCTGTATTTTTACTTCCTTGTACGAAGTAAAAAGGAAGTATTGTAATCGCGAAAATTTTCAGGCAGCATATTTCAACGAAAATATCCATTTTGACCGCTATCGAATGCAATTTAACGATGTTTTTGCGTGACATCTGTACGTAAGGACACAATAAAAGCCTCTTTTCCTCCAAAATTATTATAAAATTGCTTTAAAATGAATTCTGAAGAGAATTTTTCGTGGTGTCTGTACGTACTCGCATAACTCAAAAACGAGTAGCCTCAGAACGTTGAAATTTTGTATAAAGGACTGCTATAGCATGTAGATGTGCACCTCGTATTTTGGTTGCAATCGGCCGCACCAAACATCTATAAATATATTTATATATATATTCTCTCTGTTACTCTGCTCAGCGAACTCAGTTTCTTTACTCTTATATGTTTGTAAATTGTGTTTTTTTTTTTTTTTTTTTTTTTTTTTTTGCTTTAAAAATTATTGAATTATGTTGTTCTTATCTTCCGGTTAAGGTTTTTATGCCTTTAGAAAAATCTGCAAGCAATATTTGTAGAATTATCAACAATTTAAAAGCTGTTTAATTGCGGCTAAGCCTAATTTTTAAATAACAGGGCGGACATACTGGTTTACATTTGAAACAGCAGAATAGTAGATTTGTTGCCAATCTAGAGAGTCTAAGCTTCGCAACATCAAAGATAACGCCTTCATTTATTATTGCGAATTAAATCATGCTTAATCGTTTCTGGAATTGTCTCGAGGAAATAAGTGTTTAAGATTTACTTCGTAATTTTTAATATAGATATTTTGAGTTTTTTTTTTTGTAATTTTGCCTTGTCGCGAAGTGAGGACTGAATTAATTGAATGAGAAGTACTGAATCGTCTGTGAAAAACTGTTTCTTTTTTCTTTTGTTTCCTAAATTTCTTTTATGCATTATTCTAGATTTATTATGGTATTTGAATAGAACATGTGACAACGATTAGATAATTCTTCAAATGATATAAATTTTGTGCATTCTGAGTTATAATATGAACGAAATATAACGCTGTTAAATGAACCTAGCGTCAGAGTGTCGCTAAGGTAAACAAATATAGTGAATTTTAAAGAGTGCATTTATTCTATTGTGGTTTATTCGCTATCGACGAAGTAGATTTATTTCAATCCAGTAAGTTTAAATGGAATGCAATAAACCATTCAAAGAAAGTTTGAAAAGACAGTGGAATACGTGGATGTTAGAAAGCGAAGAAACATTTACAATAGAAGTTAAATGCTTCATGTCAATCTAGAAACAGTGAGTGATTGGGCAATAAAAGCATGGAATAAAACAAAGGAATGGGATAAATAAACACAACATAAATTAAAAGTCTTTTGTAATATATCTAACAGTCTAGATGGAAGAGAAGATAATTATTTACTTATGGATCAGAGTAACAGTGAGAGCGAAGATCAAATAGAATTTGATGATGTGCTTGAAGATATAACAGGAAGAATACGACGAACTTTTCATGTCATCCAATAACGACAATTTTTAAGTTCATAAGCTGTGTTATTTCTTTTAGATGAACAACATATTTTTAAATCTAATACTTTTTATCCGGCGTATAACACTCACTTGAAATTTCCGATATAATGTTTTGCATTAAAAGTGAGGAATTATATGCAGGAATATAAAGTCACTTGAATATCTTACTTTAATACAATTCCTTCTTACCCTGTAGCCTTTCGCCTTCATTGATGCCGCAACCTGTACGCTAAAAAGCGCTTCCTTCCAGCGATCACCTTGTGTTTTTCTTCGAATGAAGTAGTCTTTAGTATCTGTTGGGCTGCTAACACTCTGGATGTAGACAGTTAGACTGCCGATATCTGAGCCATACATGTGATAAAAGAAGCGAACGCAGTATGCATCTTTGAGGTTTACAGTTTGCAACTTGACTTCATTCGTCTTGGCTGCGCTTACATTCACATAGATATAACTGCCTAGATCTGAAAAACAAATTGATATTAAAGATCTCGGGGTGCAAATGTCTATTTTTATAAAAAAACAGAACTTCCAGCTGCAACTACAGTTGCTGAATGATATATAAAAATGACAGTTTGAATGAAAGCCTGCGTAAGTTCCAGTCAAATAACAGCTTTCCTTTATGTAATAGCATTTCATAACAAAAGGCTGTGTTCTAAATATCGAGGCTGTTTTCACACTTTTTAGACAACTTTCATTGTATTTGCAGAAATTAAATTGTATTTGCTTAAAATTTTTGTTTCAAATGTTCCGTTTTATAACCCTTGTTCTTAACTATCTTTCTACATTGTAATTTTCAAAGCAATAAAGTCTTTTGTAGTATCGGAAAAGGTATTTTATCCCGTTCCTCTTGAACAGTTTACCGAAGTCCATGGAAGGACGTTGGAGAATATGCATTTTAAAAATTGGAGAATATGCATTTTAAAATTGGAGAATATGCATTTCGGTTTGGATAATCCGCAAGTCGACGTTTGGACTTGCGGATTGCTAAACGCTAGTCGACGTTTGGACAATTCGCATTTTAAAAGTCGGTTTGAATAATCTGCAAGTCGACGTTTGGACTTGCGGATTGCTAAACGCTAGTCGACGTTTGGACAATTCGCATTTTAAAAGTCGGTTTGAATAATCCGCAAGTCGACGTTTGGACTTGCAGATTGCCAACTGCAAATGCGGATTTCCGAACGTCTCCAGTCGACGTTTGGACATTCCGCATTTTAAAAGTCGGTTTGAATAATCCGCAAGTCGACATTTGGATTCGCGGATTGCCCAACGCCACTCGACGTTTGGACAATACGCATTTTAAAAATCGGTTTGGATAAACCGCAAGTCTACGTTTGGACTTGCGGATTGCCGAACGCATTCGAAGTTTGTACAATCCGCATTTTAAAAGTCCAAAAATGCATGGGTGATACATCAAAAGATTTAGTAGGGATATGAGCGAAGGGTATGGCCTTGATAGACGTTACTTACGCCATTTTTTCTAAGAAATTAAGAGTCAGTTTCGATGTGTGGCTCTTGCTTTGTCTTGATGCAGTTCTTCTGATTGATGGCACTGTGGGTAAAAAGAAAGTATTTCTTATTTGAAAATTGGGCATAAAATATGTTTCTGATAGTATGCAGAGTTGATCTTAGCAGTTTTCTCCACACTGTTTATTTTCAATTTGCCGTTATATGAAAAATCAGCAACAATCACCGCCGTTATATGAAAAATCAGCAACAATCATAAATCCCTATGAGAAAACTTTCTTTAGATTCTTTCAAACATGTTTTCATATTTTTTCTCCTCTTTGATGATAATAAATGTATCTCGTTTTGACTTCTTCAGGGCCGTTCCCACTGTGGTTTATCTAACGGAAACAACTGACCATCTCCAAAACCAGTTTTTTCCCGTAGGTCAGCAAGTTGAAAAATCTGAACTGCAGGCATAGCGGAAGTAGTCGATAAACAAGAGTGGCAACGGCCCTTTCCACTGGGGTTTATTTGAGCTAGCGGAGACATCTCCAAAACCCATCTCCAAAACGAGATTTCCCTATAGGGCAGCGAGACGAAAAATCTGAATTGCAGGCATAGCGGAGCTAGTCGACACATGGAACTGACTCCGTTAGCTCAGATAAACCCTAGACTGAACGGCCCGTTCATCTGAGCTAACGGAGACAGCTGACGTAGCCGACACATCTCCAAAACCAGTTTTTCCCCATATGGTAAAGTTGAAAAATCTGAACTGGCATAGCGGAGCTAGTCGACTCATGGAACTGACTCAGTTAGCTCAGATAAGCCCCAGACTGAACGGCCCGTTTATCTGAGCTAATGGAGACAGCTGACGTAGCCGACCCATCTCCAAAACCAATTTTTCCCCATAGGGTAGCAAGTTGGAAATCTGAACTGGCATAGCGGAGCTAGTCGACACATGACACTGACTCCGTTAGCTCAGATAAACCCTAGTGGGAATGGCCCTTACCTCTTTCCCTAAATGGAAAGGGTCATGAAAGGACAGTACCACGGATCGGTCCAGGCCATTCAAGAGGCCGTAACGAGAGAGCTGAGGAGAATTCCAGTTTTTGCGTTCCAGGAAGTATTCAATGATTGGCAGAGTCTTTAGAAACTCATTGTTGATGCAGAAGGGGCATATTTTGAAAACTATTAAGTCTATGTATCAAAATTGTGAATGTATTTTTTTAAAAAATTCAGTCCTACTACTTTCTGGGCGAACTCTGTAAATTATCTCGATTTAGTTTCTATTTTGCATGAAATCTGCATACAAAGTACTATCAAACATTTAACTGTACTACTAATATGCTTGGCTATTTAAAATGGTGAGATATCAGTACTATTGCAGACTTTTAAAGAAATAATTCCACTTACTTGTTCCAAGCGTATGGTCCACTGAAGGTCCTGTATCAGCAGAGTTTAACTTCCCTCTTCCAATTTTCCAATTCTCTCTGTTTAGCCTGTCATTCGATAGGAAAGTGCAAATCTTCTTCAGTTCAAAATCACACTTATAAGATTTTTGAGCTGAAAATAATATTATATATAATGTTAATAAACTCTAATTATTTCAGAGTCAAAATATTTTTTAAAAATCACTGTCATGCTTCCTAATTCACATTGCCGTAAAATAACTGAATCTTATCTAGTACTTACACAAAATATCAGTACACATTATTATAGCTGTAAGGTTTTATCCCAAGTTTATAACAGTTATTTTTAAATTAAAGTTCTTTTCCTGTCTCTCCTAATTTCAGCTTACAATTCCTTACCAGAATGAGTTTTAGAATCGCTTTAAATGTAAATGAGAAGGCGTAGTATCACGTCTCTCTAACTATTACTACGTTCGGCCGAATTACGTGTCCTTGATAGATTTGGTAGCTAATTTAATGTTAGGAGCCAACTAGTTAGAAATAGTCTTAGCTTCGGCTAAATCTCTTTAGTTACTCATTAGTTGTGTTCTAATTTTTTATATTTTGAGTTTAACCCAAGTGGAGGCTTTCTTGTACGTCCTGAGAAGGGGACCGTCTTACTTTGAGCAATAAAGGTTAATTAACCCTTCTTGAGTTTACGTCCTATTTCTGAACTTAAGCAATTATTCTCTTAGCTGTTCACTAGTTTCCTCTATACTGAGTTAATAGATAAAAGGGAGGATCACTAAAAGGGGATATACAGGATGTCCCAAAAACATAGGTCTCAGCATTTATTCCTTAAATATGATAGTAGAGCATATAATATAAATTACAAAGGTTCTTAAGAAAAGATACAGAATTTTATGAAATGAATTGAAGTTTTCAGGGAATTAAATTTAAAGAAATACAAAATTTACATTTTTATATGGAATTCTCAATTAGCAAATTCTGCCCTATACATCGATAAGGGCATGTATAAAATTTCAACATTTTATCATAAAAATTCGCAGATATGTTTAAACAAAGTTGGTGAGGGGATGATTATAAATGAAAATGTAAATGCTTAGAGTTAGATTGCAGATGATGGGATGCAGAAATGCATCATAAGCATCTAAAATATGGTTTTTATCTTTAATTTTATTTACAAATTTACATGCTTCCCAAAATCATACCTATATATATATATACATATTATAATAATATGATAATATATACATATATGATAATATATACATATTATGCTTCCCGAAATCATACCCAGGCATAAGAAAAGTGGCTTAAGTCAGCATTTATGTAATTTCATATCTCTGGGGCATTTGTGATAAAATGCTGAAATTTTGTGCATGACCTTATCGATATATGAGCCAAATTTTGCTAATTGAGCATTTTTCTGTACGAGTGGCCATATAAAATATAAATTTTGCGTTCCTTTAAATTTAATTCCTTGAAAATTTTAATTGATTTCATAAAATTCTGTTTCCTTTTTACTTCCTTAGCTATAACCCTATAATTAATTTATCATTTAATCTCTACATATAATAAAAGAAAGAGTCTGTGTGTCTTTCGTTCGTGCTGCGTGGAAGCTAATAGACCCAGGGCTACAAAATTTGGTATATAATAGTTGCATCTAGAAAAGAGCCAGTGCACATCGAAGCGATTTTTTTCAAAATTCGAATCAGTCTTTTTTTTTTAATTTTATCTTTTCGATTTTATCGCATCATTTTGAACAGTTTCATTCTTTTAGAAATGTAGTTTTGACAATAGATTTTTATTCAATTCTATACTGGATTGCTCATTGTTGAAAATCAGCACTGTTGCCACTAGCAAAAATGAGGGCGATCATTCTGGACAGTTTTTAAATTTAATGTTTCTCTTGGATACTGGACGTTTGTTGAGAGATGGCAACAGGAAGTTGGTTAAATTATTTATTAGGATAATTAATATTTGAATTAAGGGATATTGCTTATTTCATTGTATTTTTTGGGGGAGATGAAAATGTTCTGCAGAGTAAAATTCTGCGCAGTTTTTAAATTTAACATTTGGCATTCTTCCGGTACATTTAAAAGCCAGACAAAGGCTGGCCACGTAGCAGCTAGTTATATATAAAATAAAGAAATGTGACATGTCTTTGAATGCGAATTAAATAATATTCAGTTACTAGTAATATTATTAGTAATATTATATAATTAGTATTAAGCGGGTATTCACAATTATTATGTAATTCGAGAATTATACGAGTACAATACATAATGTGTCATGATATATATGGTATTATGTATTAATATTGTATATACCATGGTTATAATGGTAATTAATATAACTATTGTAATAATAGGAATTTATTAGTTTTTGTACGATTACAAATCGTACAAATATAAATTTTCTACTTCTTTAAATTTAATTCCTTGAAAATTTTAATTGATTTCATAAATTTCTGTAATCTTTTTTTTACGTACCTTTGTGATTCATATTATATGTCTACGATCATATTTAAGGAATAAAAGCCGAGGTCAATGTTTCTGGGACACCTTGTATATGTATTATTAACTAATTTTTAAGATCTTTAAGGTTTCGTTTAGTTTTAGTTTTTCTCGGATTATTAACGTTTCTTTTAATCGATTTTAATTTCTTTTATTTTTTAAATTTTTCTTGAACAACAGTGTAACGTAACGAAAGTAATATTATTCATATAATTAGTTTAAGGAAAAAAGTACCCGTAATTCACATTTTATTAAAAAAGTATATTTTCAATATAAGATTTCCTTGTATACATTACTTTCACTATTCTATTTCGACGAATCCTTTCCATTACAATAATCATGAACAAAATGAAAGTTAAATTGCAAATGAAACACGCTAATGGAAAATTTTAAATTAGGCGAAAAACCAACCTAGCCACGTTAAGATTGCTTTTTTATTTTAGCCCAAGGAAGCGTTAACCCAGAAGGGCTATTAGTCTCGAAACGGCATTTTGCGTCGTTTCACCATAAACGGCGAATCACTTTTTAAATTGTTTTCACCAAACATTACCCCCCTATATTATATTTAAAGAAATTAAATAATGAAGAATCTACATGAATGTATATGTGTTTCTCTCGCTATAAAAGACGATGGTACTTAAAGCCATCAGATTTTGAATAACCTAATCCTCCACCCGAACTTGGGCAACTTGGGAAGCACGAATTTTGAATTTTTGTAATTTAAAGTAATAAATTTTAAAAAATCTGAAAACTTTCAAATTTTATATTACGTTCAAAGTTTTTTTTATTATTATTATTTAAAGTTTTGTGTGTTACCTTCTCAAGTATCCAAGTATGAAGTATCCAAATATCCCGGACAGGCCCCCAGATTTTCTGTAGTGGGGGAGTTGGAAGATGCTAAATAACAATTCCAACGTATTTTCCACACCACAGAACATTTAATAAAGAAAAGTAGAAGAAGATACAGATTAGATTAATCACAAGTGCCGTTTGAAGCCAACAGGATTCTGTATAGCATTTGCCAGTCTTATCACGTAACCGATTAATGCCTACTCGCACTTGCTGACGCATTATACAGTCAATTTACCACCTTTGCGTGGAAAACTACAGTTCCTTATTCTACATAAAATAAAGAAATGTGACACGTGAATGCGAATTAAATAATATTCAGTTACTAGTAGTATTATTAGTAATGTTATATAATTAGTATTAAGCGGGTATTCACAATTATTATGTAATATATATATACTCTTTAAATACCGCAAATCTTTAGAATTTTCGGCAGACAGTCTCGGGCGCTCGAGATAAAAGTGTTTTTTGTCCGTACAGTGTTGCCATTGGTCGCTTTGAAATCGTTGAGTTTGTTAATCAGAAATTTGTTAAAGTTTTACTAAATATAAAATAGATAATAAAACAAATTCGTAATTCAAAATTTCGAGCTCCGAGGTGTCCATGTTCGGGTGGAGGATTACGTAATTCAAAATTTGATAGTTCTAGGTACCGTCCTTTTTTCACAATGCAAAATATAGACATACATTCATGCAGATTTCTCATTATTTAATTTCTTTAATAAAGGCGATAATATTTGATAGCAACATTTTGAAACGTGATTCAGATTTTTAGATTTAAAGCAAAATGCCGCGCCCAGACTAAATATCCCTACTGGCCTAACGCTGCTTCGGGTTAACTATAAAAAATTAAGAAAAGAGCACCATTCATTATTGAGTGTTTACAGAAAGATGGCCATTTACGTTTACCGTTATACTTGAAGTTGTAAAGTTGGATAAACATGTGTACAAATTTGATCTGGAAATAAAAACACCTATCGTCTATGATTAAACTTGAAAAAATTAATGCAAACTTCGGATTGCCAATGATTTTGTTTTCAATAAACGAACCTCCACGGCCATATTAACTTTAACGACATTAAAGAGTTTATATAGCTTTTGCCTTGTGTTCGAGAACATTCTGGGCTAAACCAGTAAAAATTCGTTGCAGAAGGTTCTCTATCCGCCCATGGCATATCGCCCATTCTGTCACCAAATGGGCGATTTCTCGCCAAATGTGGCAACCCTGCCTTCTCTTGCCATTTTATGGCAACCCTAAAACTGCTTTGCGTGGAAGCCATCTTACCGCGCCTGTACATTTCGTAACAATATTATAATATTATAAATTCATTTGGATGTTGTCCAAGATATCATACGTGATTTCTTGTGATAGATGTGCAAGACTAGAAAGATCTGCTCAAGTTTTTTGAAGGTTTTCCAAAGAACTGGTGCTATTCTTCCCAGTATGCAAATAGATCAAAGTCCTTCTGTACTGTTAAATTTCTAAACCTTCGCTGTATAGCTTGATCCTTGGCTTCATATTGAAGTTCAGCAACGATTTATCAACTTTAGAATTTGGTAACTTGTTCAGGAAATACAATTTAACTCCGTTTTACTTTAAAATACCGTCTGCAGAGATATAGGCATAAGAATTTTCATGATGCATTACAGGGTTTGTCCAGAAAGTAGCATGTCTGATTTTTTTTTAAAAAAAATTATTCACACTTTTCACACGATGACTTAATAGTTTTCAGAATATGCTTCTTCTGCACCAGCACAGCGTTTCAACGACTTTGCCAGTAACTAAA